AATAAATAAATGTGCCAAAAGTAGACCCATGATGTACCTGCAAATTTTGACTTTTACTATTAAACAATTAGAGATCCCACATCAATTAAACAAAATGAAGGTCACTCTCAAATCCCACACATGCACCTTATCACTGTGGAAAAGCGACACCTCTTTAGAGTTAGCAACAATCTGCTGTGATGCAACAAAAATATAATTTTAGTAGGAAGAACTGTGTGTGTTGGGACAGCCACTATAAAACTTTTAAAAAGCTATGCAGAGAATGGAAGTTCAGTTTTAAGGATTTTGAGGCTTTTGAAATTTTGGCTTTCTGAATGGAGCCAAAACAGTTTTAAAATATTAAAAAAAAAAAAAAAAAAAAGTTTTGGGTTGTTCAGAACGTATTATTTTGACCAAATAAAAACGTTTTGATTGGAAAATGTTGCAGTGGGAAATTTCAATGCTCCCAGAACTTTTCAGTTTTTCTTCCAGGCAAAATGTATCCAATTTCACGTAAGCTTTTTCATTTCAATGGAACTGACTGTTCTCACAGGAAAAAAACTACATCAGCATTTCTACACCAGTTTGATTGCCTATACCACTCATAACCACAAGAGGACAGCCACACTTGTTCTATTCCAAATTATATCCAAGGGCAGCAATTTCCTCCTTGGCTACAGTATTAAAACAGAAGTTGATTTCTTTAATTGTCACTGTTTTTTAGATCTCGACTTGGTGAAATCCAATCAGTGAGTTATTGGATTTGTACTTGTACGTGATTTCCTGCCTCTCTTTAGAAAACTGGCACTTCTCTTGTTCTAAAATTCCAGTGTCTTTCTTTTTAAAAACATTTCTCTCCCCCATCTTCTCCCTTCTCCTTCTGTCTTTTTTTAGCCTTCCAAGACCGTGAAAGTCCAGACATCTCTGTTGCTGAAGGATTCACTGGAGGTTCATTTGAACAATGGAACTAAAGCTGCTGATGTCCTGAGGCAGTTTCAGAAACACCTCAGCCAGAATGGCTGGAGTATTGTCAACACAGTCAACCTCCTCAAATGGTAAAAGGCTCCTTCACAGTTACAAGCAGACAGTCATCCACTTCCCATGTTTCTCATGCAGGAGGGGGAAGTGCTGGCCAGGGGAGAGGGATTATAAAGTGACTAGCATTCAGAGACTTACTCTGGTTTGCTATTCGTATCTTTTGAAGTGTGTTTTGGGAGGAGGAAAGAGGAAACCCTAATCTCTCTTTCAGTTGTGACTATCATCATGTGAGCTTTTGGAGATGTGGAGCAGCTATTGGTCTGCTGCCCCTGGATGCTAGAGAGCAGGTGAACTATAACAATATGCGCATGATCGTTTTAGAGAAGAGTGGGTACCCTTCCCAGGCGGGGAAAAAACTTTATTGGCTTCTGTTGTGAAGACTGCAGTAAACCAGGAGAAGTGGTGTCAGTTTTACTTAGCCAAAATATCACTTTTTGTGAAAACCCAGACAATTGCTTGTATGTGGCAGCATTTTCAGGAGGCATACGTTGCTGCATCTGTTGCATCGCATCCCTAAGCTGGGTATGTTCAGGCTTAAGGGGGCAAGGGAAAAGGCGCAAAGCTGTCACATTAGATTGGAAAGAATTAGCACTAATATCCCAATAATCAGCTACAATCTCTGCCAAAGGCTGCTGCAGCGTTCCTTACACAGACCAAGCTGTTGATCCAAGGTGATGGCTGCTGATAGAGATTGATTTTGTGCCTTTGATTTTTTCTCTCTGAGAAGCTAGTCCTTTGCCAGCCCTTTGTGGTCTCATAGCAGCAAGGAATGTCTGCCTTGCTTCGGTCTTAGGTGATCTTTTCAAGAGTTGCTTTCCTAGAACATGAGGGCTTTCTACTGCACTTTACCCTGTAGCTTCTCTTACCTTGCTAGTCTTGGAAATATGAACTTCTGGATTTGCATGAGGTTATTCCAGCCTGTCTTGGACAAAACCCAGTTACAATGCTGTGTTTCTTCTTTGTCTCCTGCAGTAACGGTGCTGTCGATTCGACGAACCTGCTCCTGTATGAAGTAGGCGGCAATATAAGTACGTGAGATTGGAGTCTGAATAACTACAAATCTGTTCTTGGTGCTGGGGCATTAGTGGGGAGTTAAGAAAGTCTGGCTGGGGGAGAGGGTTCTGATAAAGATGGAGCAAAACTGTATTCACTGGGTGAAATTCACCCAAGTACACAGGGCCCATACAAGACTCTCTGTTGCCTAAGCGATTTGAGGAGTCCTGCCAGTGACTACCCAGCTCAATAGAGGGGGCCAGTAAACAATGGGCCCAATAAACAATGTCAAAACCTAAGCGTTCCAAAGAACTCAGCGCCGACCGTTGTAGTCAGCTCCCCTTGAACAATGGGACCTTGTGGGTGCTGATCTCTATAAAATTGGCCTAGTTGGTACAGGTGCCTGCAGTAGAGATGTCTTCTAAAATGTGGCCCAAAAATGGTTCGGCCTTATTAAGAAACTCCTGTCTGAAATGCAATGGAACAAGGTACTTGTGTACTACTTTTCACAGCGATGCAATGACCTGCAGAACTTGCTAGTGGCTTTAACAGCAAGCTAGGCAGACATCTAGAGCAATGGCATCCCATCCTGTGCCATCTTCTAGTTTACATACAGGTTTTCTAACCAAACTAAACTTTATTCTAATGAGTAACTCCATTGTACACCGTGCTCTGTTTAAAGACTGAGTCTGCAGCACTGGTGAACTGAATCTCTACCATAATACAACAACGATGCTGTACATCTATAACGTTAGAGGAGAAGGCTAATACTGCTGGAAAGCTTGCTCGCTAATGTTTGGGTTGTCTTTCCCTGATAGTAGCTAGTTCAACTGGTTCAAGGCTCTAGTTGGTCACCACTTGTATTGTGGGAGCTGATATGGTTTGTTATGGTATTAGGAGAGTGGATCTTTAAAGATTCCTAGTGAGTACAGAGGGTATGGAGGTAAGGTAGCATGGACTAACCGTGAAGATGGAGTTTCAGTAATACCTGTTTTAAATGGACACGTGATTGTGATTGTCTGGAGAATATCTACCCGCGTAGATGCCTGACTCTGTCTGTTTGATAGAAGCAGTTTAATCCCTTCTACGAGATCCAAAGGCTGTGAGTGATCTGTATGAAGGTGTTCACCAGATCAAAAGTTCTTTGCTATTCATACTTTTATGGCCTTTATAGTGATAAAAGGCCAAAGCAAGGAATGAGGATGGGAGATGGGTTCACTGTAGGAACTGAAGCTAGTAACAAGAATGTAACTTCAAGGATTCATATGTCATGAAGGCACACGATCAACTTCTACTGGCGCTTCACACACACACACACACACACGCGCGCGCAAGACTGAGCAAAACACTGAGCTTCATTTTTCATTAGCTGCCAGGCCTTTATTCAAAATACATAGAGCTGTTGGCAGGACAAAGTATTGTCACATGTAAGTATTGTAGAGGCAGGTACCTCCCCCTATATGTATTTCTTTAAACTCATGATACTAAGCTGAATGAGAAATACTCACATGCTTAATGATCGAGGAAGGCTCATTATCTTACTGAGTCAGAGATGTACTTCTGTAGTTAATAGAATTGTTGCATTACTCTTTATGCTTCTATTCTAGTCTACCAGTTCTGTACACAGACTGGGGGGTAACAGGGAAGAGGGCTGACAGAATTGGCCCGTGGGCAAGGTGGAGGGGGGACCTGGCTCGGCACTCCTGGAAAGGGTGGGGCCACGGGAGGAAAGGCGAGGGCTGGGGGCTCTTCAGCACTGCCCAGTGTGCCACCCAGCACTCCGGTATTGATATAAAGGGTCTGGCGCTCCAGTAGCTGTTGCGATTTTGAGTCACTGGACTCCAGGGCAGTAGCCCCCTTTGCTGCCCCCTCGTCCCTCCCATGTCGGCAGGCCTGTGTGCAGCAGAACTGCATAAGGAAAATAAAAGATCATCTGATCTCTGGCTGATTAAAAAAGAATGTGTGTTGATTTCTGAATCATTGCTCTGGAATGTGATAAACCTGAGGAAAGTGAAATTGACTAGAAACACACGTGAGAATTACCAATCTGGCTTTTAATTGACCAAATGGAAATGAAAAAAAAAAAGTGAAATAAACAGCATAGATTGTAAAAACCAAATGAAATAAAACCAAATAATACAAGTTCTGCCACCTTCATAAACTAAGGTCATGGTAGTAAGAGTGGTGAAGAAACCTTATTTTTAAAAAAGTTTAAAGGGAAGATGAAGCTGTAACCCACTTCTGTGTTTATACTTCTCCACAACAACTGCCTGCACACTCCAGCCATGTCTAAACTCAGGGTTGTATGGCTGTAAATACAGCACTGTATGTAGTAGTACAATCCTGTAGCGGGAGTGCAGTAGTTTTGATATCGCTTATCCCTAGATGGAAAAGGGAATAACTGTATTGGTGTGAGTCACTTTTATACTGCTATAACTGTTCGCACTAGGGATGTTGGATAGCAGGCAATAGAATAGTCAATAGGCATGAATTCTTAGCGGTTAGTCAGCTATTCTGTAGTGCCTGGCCCCAGTCCCAGGAAGCCCTTGCCATCCCGCACTTCTGCCTTTCTAACTGAGGCAGCAGTATGGGGTACCAGGTGGGAGCCAGTCTGCAAGGGGAGATAGTTTAAAACCCCCCTACCCTCGTGGATTGTCTGCCTGCCACCCCGGGCTGCTGCCTCTAATAGAGGCAGCAGCACGGGGTGGCAGCAGCCCCTGTCCATGGGAGGTCCAAGCTCCTCGCAGACAGAGGCTGCTGAGGGGATGGAGGAGGCCTTTGCCTGCGGCAAGCCAGGGCCTGCCCCCACACCCCACTGCAGCATGGTGGGAGGTAGGGAAGAGGCAGCACTGCGGAGCCCATGCGAGGAGAACCAGCTTTTAAGCCAGCTCCCCCCAGCACCAGCTCCTGCTTCCCCAACACCCCTTGCCAGAGGCAGCAAGGGAGCGAATGCGAGTAGTCGACTAGATCAGGGGTTCCCAAACTTTCTGACACGGGGACCAGTAAATCCAGTCATGAGCTTTTGGAGGACTGGTAACATTCATTTGCATATTTGCATATACAATAAGCAAATGATGAATATTCAAATAAGTTGTTTCTGGTCCTCCCAAAGCCCCCAGTGCCAGCGTTAGCAAAGCTTTTGATACAGTCACCCACAATATTCTTGCCAGCAAGTTAAGGGAATATGGATTGGATAAATGGACTGTAAGATGGATAGAAAGCTGGCTAGATCAGGGTTTCCCAAACTTTTTACTTTACTTGGAACCCATTTTTTTTTTCAGTACTGTCTTTTGCAGCCCTAAAATATAAATGCATAAAAAAAAAAAAAAGAATGAAAAAAATTTCAGTGTTTCACCTGGCTGCATCCTCCACCCAGCCTTGGCCAGGGACTGGGAGACCCGGCACCCCAGGAGCACTTCAGGAGGTGGGAGCAGGTGCAGATTCGGGATAGGGTATCAGGCTAAGAGGGAGGGTGGAAGGAAGGGTAGTGCTGCCAGGTGTCTGGTTTTGTACTGGACAGTCCGGTATTTGAAGGTTTTGTCTGGGAAAGAAATTGAGAAATTACCAGACATATAAAATGCCTGGTATTTTCTAATTAGGTACGTTTTATTATAATTAGGTGTATCAGTCCTTAGCTGCCTGGCTGGTAGATGTGCTCATGCTGTCTGAGTGTGTTTACCTGCCAGGCAGTTCGTAACTACTCCAGGGAGGGTATGTGGGGGAGAGGGAGCAAAATGGAATCCCCGGCCAGACTCACTCGTCTGCCAGGGTCTGCATGTGCCCAGGTTTTCCTGCTCCGATCTCCACCATCCAGCACTGCTGCCCCGCCACTCCCAGCCCTGCTTTCGCTGCCCGCCTGGATCTCTGCGGGACAGACCCGCCACTCCCAGCCCTGCTTTCGCTGCCCGCCTGGATCTCTGCGGGACAGACCCGCCACTCCCAGCCCTGCTTTCGCTGCCCGCCTGGATCTCTGCGGGACAGACCCGCCACTCCCAGCCCTGCTTTCGCTGCCCGCCTGGATCTCTGCGGGACAGACCCGCCACTCCCAGCCCTGCTTTCGCTGCCCGCCTGGATCTCTGCGGGACAGACCCGCCACTCCCAGCCCTGCTTTCGCTGCCCGCCTGGATCTCTGCGGGACAGACCCGCCACTCCCAGCCCTGCTTTCGCTGCCCGCCTGGATCTCTGCGGGACAGACCCGCCACTCCCAGCCCTGCTTTCGCTGCCCGCCTGGATCTCTGCGGGACAGACCCGCCACTCCCAGCCCTGCTTTCGCTGCCCGCCTGGATCTCTGCGGGACAGACCCGCCACTCCCAGCCCTGCTTTCGCTGCCCGCCTGGATCTCTGCGGGACAGACCCGCCACTCCCAGCCCTGCTTTCGCTGCCCGCCTGGATCTCTGCGGGACAGACCCGCCACTCCCAGCCCTGCTTTTGCCGCCCGCCCAGATCTCCATGGAGAGCTGCGCCGCTCCTAGCCCTGCTTTTGCTGCCCGCCCGCCTGCCCGGATCTCCACTGAGACAGCCCCACTGCTCCCAGCACTGCTTCCTGGCGGCTGGTTCTTCTCCCCTCCTACCAGCCCTCCCTGCTCTGCTTCTCTCCTGGCAGCCATGCCGAGGCCCGGTATTTTTTTCCTGGGCCGGGGCCCATAGTTTGGGAAACACTGGACTAGATGAACCGATAAGCCTAGGTTTATCAGTTAATTGTCTAGTTGACTACTTGTTGACATCCCTAGTTCACACTAGGACTTTTTACCAGTATCATTTCAGTAAAAGGAATCCCACCCATAACCAAATTGTTATGCCAATAGGACTTTCTAGTGCAGACTAAGCCTCAGATCATATTCCAGCAGTGCACAAACAAGCAACAGAACTCCATATGTGCAAACCCCATCACGGAGGGAGAATTGTACCTCTCATACCTGAAGTGCATGGGTAAAGTTGGATGTTCACAGATGAAAACCCTGGCTTCTCATCACGGACCATGTTTCAAGCCCATTTCTAAAAACAGCAGTAGCTATTTTTAGGACTTATGGACTTAGTTTGCTCTAAACCACTATACATATATATATTTAAAGTACTTTTCATGTGCATAGCACTATTCAAATTTATAGGTGCAAAATGCTTTTTTAAAATGTTTATTTTATCCAACAGGTGAACATTGCCTGGATCCAGATACATATCTCTTAGACTTGTACCACATCAACCCCCATGCTGAATGGATTATAAGACAAAATCCGTCCTTTCCACGGATGCTCTAGGGAAAGCATGAATGAAAATAAACTTTTGTTTCAAGTTTGTGGGCGGGAGCAGAAAGCTAAAACTTTTTTTTTTAATGAACATGGCATACGGGCATGGAAGAAAGCTGCTACTTTGGATGGAAATAAGTGGTGGTGATTGGTTTTGGTTTTTACTACTACTTGGTTAAAGAAGGCAGGAAAAAAGAGCATGTGAGAGTTGGTAACCAGCGGGAGTCAACATTAGATTACAGAATCCTGAAGGTGTGAATACTCTTCATAAAGCACCTGCAGACAAAGCTGCAGAGGAAGTGGGGGAAGACCACTCCTGGAGGAAGAACCTGGTAGAATTTCTTAATCCTTTTGGGTTTGGATTGTTCTTTATTTTGGCCACACCCTCATTTTGGAGGGGAGAGATGGTCAAATCAACTAGCACTAACAGTCTAGTCTCTTTGTGTTGCATTTGTTAAATTTTATGGACTTTTCAGCAAGTGTCACATGTATAATTTTCTCCCCCAGCCCCAAAATCTGTGTTCTCTGAAAAGTGTGAGGATGCTTCTGGTTTTTTTTTCGTGCAGGGATGTAATGTATGCCTGGAGAGTTTGACCTCCCTCAAGTAACATCTACAGTTAAAACTGTGCACAAAATAACTTCCTGGAAAACCTGAGACTTGGTATCAACCCTTCTTCATATGGACCAGCTGGTAGAGGAATCATGCCAAGGAGGGGCTGCTTCCTGTCCATGCACAGGTCCTGTTGATAAGAAATGCTCCCAAGATGAAAAGTGCTTCCACACTGAAAGTACCAGCATCTTGTTTTGCTTTAGATCATCTCTGTCATATAAAGGTGGCAGCGAAGAGATTCTGGAACTGTATTTGAGGATTTGCATGTTGTATTTCAAAGCACTTCTGCCCTGATCCAGGAGGCCAAACGAGGCTTGGTTTTGGTGTGGCAGATCATATGTTAAGACCTGCAAAAATCAGCATTAATGTGAGGTATAGTCTGACCTGGCCACAGCTTTCACACAGCTTCTTGCCATTCTTACCAGAGCAAAGTAACTTAAGTGATGTGCAGTGATCATCTTTCACTGCCGACTTCCTCAGGTTACTGTGGGCCTCTTTAAACTGGCTGCAGTCTTCCATGACATGGGGGTGTGCTTGCTGTGGATTTGGGGAAAGCCCAGAATAGTTACAGGCTATCTGGCAGCATGAACATCAGTGTCCTGGCTTCCTTAAAATCGGAATTGGAATGCAGTTCTGGAACAAACCTCAGAAGCATTACTGTCCTTTATAGCGGTGCTGAAATACCTTCAGAATGAGGGAGCCAACTATACACAATAGTAGAGGGGGAATGTGCAGCAAATCTGTCCATCAAACTGTACCCCTAGCATGTGATAAATGTATTTTAAACATTCATGTGGCACAGAGAGGACTGTCCTTCAAGTATACTTCAGAAAGTCTTCCTTTGCCTCCAGGGTGGATAAGGATGGGCAATCTCAGTATTATTTCGTTCCCTAATTGAATTGTTTCCATAGCTGTCTTATCTGAGCCTCTTTACTGTTTTCTCAGGAGGATGATTAGCTGTTGCTTTTCCCTGTCTTGGAATCATAACGTTTCTTAAGAGCACTTCAGATGCAGATTTCTTTTCCTTTTTTCATCCCAGTTAAATTCTTTTGGGATGATTAAAATGCTTGAGAAACAGCTAAGCCATATTCTGCTTAATTCTTCTTAGTCCTGCTGTCCCTGTATTTATGCTGCTGACTTTTTAAAATGTTTGTGTATATGAGTGTCTATTGCTTGTTTCAATTTTTTTTAGATTAAAGTTCTGATGGATCGATACACAGATTTGAGGGATCATCACTTTCTTCCACCTTCCTAATCCTTTTAAAAAAACCCAACTAAATAACAATCTGAAATGTTAAGTGAATATTTTCAAAAGGGACTAACGAGTATGGTGTCTCAATGTTGAGAGCTGTAAGGGGGACACTTACTTAGGGCCCAGTTTTCAGAGGATGGATGCCTCCCAACTCCTGAAAACCAGGCTCTTAGTAGTTTGGGTCCTCAGAGCACAAGGACCACAAATTACTGGTCACTTCCAAAAATCTTGGCTCAAATGATTTGTTATAAGCATAAGCAAAACAACAAAACCCCAGGGAATTAACAATGTGAATGCAGTACTCCAAAATCATGGCTGCTGCATGGTGGCACGTTTTTAGATACCAAGGGCCCATCTCATGAAGGGAGTGGGAGTTAGATGAGCCCATCCTACTGAGGAGCTCATACTGTAAGATTTACTCCTGACAGTTGTAAATTGCAAAGCTTTCCTTTTTCACCTCCACCCATAGGCTACGTACTAGCCTAGGTGGCTTTATATATGTATATTTTTCCAATGTAAAACTTATCTAGTGACATTTCACAAGTTATTACAATAAATCTGCAATCAGGATCTGGAGCAGGGCATTCCTACTAAGTGCAAACAAACGACTCCCTTCTCTCCAAGCTGACTTTGCATTTCCTTCTTAAACCTAAATCCAGTTGTTCAGAGAGATGGCACGATATGAATGCTTCAGAATTGTGGGAGATGCTGATCAATTGGCTCCTGGGGGTGATGATTTACAGTTATCAGTAGGAGAGAGATTCTACATCTTAGGCTATTTTTTCCAAAGTTTTCGAATCTCTATACAAATTCACATCTAATTTGCGCACTCAGTTAACTGTTACTCATCCAGTTGCAGGTACAGTGGTCTGGCTTGTGCATGCAAATTAAAGGTGTGTCGTGCACATTTAAAAAAAAAAATCTGACCTGTGTGCATTGAGACCATCAATGCCCTTTATACTTGGGCAGTGGCCAATGCTGTGGTGAAGGAGATGGTGCATGCTTTTAAAAAATATAGTTCAGGTACAAAGATGAACAGTAGCAGGAACATAGTCCAAATTGCACTATAGGACTCTGGGGTTTTTTGGTATGAGGAGTATTTTATAGTGCTATCATAACTGTGTGTTCTGATCAGCTAAAAGAGCTGGGGAGTGAGGACAAAGGAAAATGCTCCTCCATTTCTATAAAACAGCTCATTTCTTGGTGAGTTTGAGCAAACCAAACAATGTGAAATCAGTGCTGTGAAAACAAGGTTTGAGGGAATATCTCTTGAGGCAGATAGGGTAGGAATATAAAACTGTATTCAAATTGTATGTCAGACTCCTCATTTCTGTTGGTAGAATTAATGTTCTTTTGTATTTTCAGTTTCCTAATTTTGTGTAAAAGATCACATCTGGTGAGATTAGAACAATGTCACCACAATATAAAAGTTTTGTTTTGAACATTAGATTTTAATAACTTTTTACAATATTTTTAATGCTGTATTTAAAATCTACATAATAAAGCAACAAAAGAATCATAATGTTGAGTAAATGGTTTGTCCCATGTTCTAATGACAGGTTATGAAATCTACACTCCAGATAAGATAGCAACTATGATCTTGGCTAAACAAAAATACATGCATGCTACTATGTGAGTATCTGCAGTAGACAAGCCTATATTCTGATCAGTTACACACTGGATTTATGAACTGCATTTGAAGACACTGGCCCAAATTCAGTCTTGGTGGCATACAGTGAGTAAAACTTTGTGCACTATTATTATTTGCAGGATTTGGCTACAAAGAGACAGATACTTGTTGCATTGAAGGTAATGGCAATATTCTTTTAAGTGGGACCAAGATTTGGCCAACCAGAAGGATTCTAGAGTCAAAGTATCAATGATAAATTTTTACAGGTCTTGAAGTGAAATTATCAACATTACAAAAAAAACATAGTGATCATAAATCCTAATACTCACATGGCAAAAAGGCCAATTCAGTCAATTACAGAATGACCTTTTTAAAATAACTTTTGACTTTAGTTCCAGACATTGTTAAGCGATGCGTACATCTTGCCAACTGCTGTGTCTTCCTTGCGGTATGAGACCTGATTCAAACTCTCTCTAAACCAGGGGTCAGCAACCTTTTCAAATCAAAGAGCCAAACTACATACAAATTCAGAACAAGTGGTCAACAGAGCCATGTAAGAATGCTCATATGCATGACTGAAAATATAGGTGATAATATTGATAATTGTCATTAATAGCATAAGTGAAACATTGTAATCAGACTTTATTTAATGGTATTTCTGCATCTTTTCACAAGTTTCTTTGAAGTTTACATCATAACTGGTCAATTCCAACTTCATGCATACATTCAAGCTTCTGTCAATCTTATGGCAGCGGGTTGGGGATGTGGGAGGATGAGGGCTCAGGGCAGGAAGTTCAGGTGTGTGATGGACTCGGGGTTGCAGTGTGCAGATGTGCAGGAGCGTTATGATGCTGCAGCCAGATGGGGGCTAAACCCCAATTGAGGGCTTGTTGGCCAGGCTTAATTTTTAAATGAAGTAAAATATTATGTCCAACACAAAAGGCTTCAACACTGCCTTGATGTATGGGAACTTTTTTTGGGTGGGGGGCCAATGACCTACAGAAAAATCAGTCGGGGACCACACAAATGAGAAGCGCAAAAAAAAAAAAAAAACCCCAACCAAAAACCCAACCACTCCAAAAATCCCCAACCTAGCCCTCACTCAAAACCTTAGGTCAGATTTTGTGCCCCCCCAACGCTCTGGAGTGAGGGGTTAAGTAGGCAGGACAGGGCTGATAGGGATGAGAGTACAGGATCTGGGCGGGAGGAGGTAGAGTGTAGGAGGGGGTGAGGTCTGGCCATGGGGCAGGAGCGAGCTGGGGGCAGGGTGCCTGGCAAGCGGCAGGAGGCCAAGGGGTGCCTGGGCAGAGGCTGGGGAGAATTCTGGCAGGGGCCAGGAGGGGAGCTTGGCCAGGGGCCAGTTCTGACCAGGGCCAGGAGGGGAGCTTGGCCAGGGGCAAATTCTGACCAGAGGGTGGGGGTTCTTGGTGGGGGGCAGGGTGGGGGTATCTGGCTAGGGGATTGGGGTCGGAGGATTTTGGCCAGGATGCAGAGGGCAGGGGGTGTCTGGCCAGGGGCTGGGGAGATGGAGCATGGCAGTGCTCTTCACTTTTTGTCAATCCTGTAGATAAGTAGTCAATTTCGATGATTTCTTCTCTGTTTCTCCCACACCTTATCCAAGTTAGTTTTCCTAAAACAGTTGTCTCCAAGTCGTTCCTCCCTTGTTGTTACTGTTCACCCTGTGAACAATGTCAGGGTCACTGGGCTTTAAATGGTGCTCAGCATGCAATGACACCGGCAGACCTTGAAAATGTGCCGAATGTCTCGTCGAGTCCCATGTCCAGCAGAC